CTGAAATAATAATAACATCAGTATTCACCCCAACTCCCCTCCCCCCCCCATGTATAGATATTAATCCCTTTCTGCCCCCGACATTGACCCTTTCTAATTGGCCTCATCATTAACCCTTTACTGCCCAGATATTATCATGTGAAAAATGGTCTGCTCAGTCTAAAATGCCCAGGCCTGCTTTTCATCCCAGTCTGGGCCAGGGATGGAGGATCTCCCCATCACCGCTGACCTTGTCTTCAGATCTCTGACAAAGATTAGTTCCACATCATCCTCATGGGCCCCTGCAACTGGACTTTGCTGTAACATTCATCCGGAGGTCATTTTACTAATAACTATACATATGCGGGTTAAAGTCTTGATGAGACCTTTGCTGATAATACCTTCCTGTATATTGGAGGTATCTACTATTAACCTATTCCTGTATAAAGCTTGTATTATGTCCATGCTGGTATGTATATATACTTACAGTGTATTCTTATGAGTGATGTTGTATGCTGGTTGCAGTAGTTCCTCTGCCCCGATGACTTTGATTCGTTTACTGGTTAATTTCCCAGGAAGGGAATCCCCTCTGTCCACAGAAGCCCTGTCCTGGGTGGAGGCACTGCCAACCTTTATTATAAAATCTACTCTTCTTCCTAACGAAGATTCTGGTTCTCTCTTTGGGTCCTCCAAAAGAAGGCTAAGATCCATTAGGGCAATATCCAAAAATAATAATACATCAGTGGTTCATATAGTGAACTCGGTGTAGTTATTCCCCCTGAGGTCATCACAGAGGACAAGGGGGCGCTCTTTATGTCTTCAGGGAAAGAAATGTCATCTCCAAACATGGAAAGGGTTCTTCACACTCTACTGAGAGATGAGGCAAAGTGCGGCTACTGCTGCTCTCTCCATGGCAAAGAATCTCACTGTATGTCTATGCATTGCTGTGTACAAACATGCAACAATAGAAGTCAGTATGATGTCATGTTCTACCCAACCACTGCTCTGCCCTCACTCAATATGGCTCCTGCACACTTGTGTTCCTGGTTAGGAGAAGTAAAGATGGCGGCCCAGAATTCAGGTAGGAGCTGGAGGACCCATGTGTGTAGCTGGTTCTGCTGATGGACAGGGGAGGGAGGAAGATGGTGTCTGCCGGTGGGGAGCCCTGAGTATCCTGAAGTGCTTTGGAGGAGAGGAAGGGAACCCGTGTAGGTATTGTATGAATGAGGCTGTGAGAATGTGGAATAGACTCCCTCCAGAGTTGGTTGTGGCCAGCTCAGTGGATTGCTGTAGGAAAGTCCTGGATTCTTTCTTGGATACACAGAATATAACTGGATATAACATTTATAGGGAAAGTTGATCCAGGGAATATCCGATTGCCTCTCGGGGGATCAGGAAGGAACTTTTTTTTTCCTGCAGGAGCAAATTGGATCGTGCTTTGCTGGGTTTTTTTTTTTGCCTTCCTCTGGATCACCTGTGGGTATTGGATTATAATTTTTTTTTTTCATGGTTGAACTGGATGGACTTTTGTCTTTTTTCAGCCAGACTAACTATGTAACTATGAAGTATTTAGCTTTACACGCACTTCATTTTTATCCTTAAGTTGCTGGGTGGGTGTACCCCTGAGGACGCGTTATTACACGAAACGCGGTGGGTGGAGCAATATTGCTGACCTCTAGCCGCCGCTACTGATGAGTGGTGGACATTTTGGTACTTTATTAATTTATTATTTATTTTATTACTCCACGTGGATACGTTTTATGTTACTTGCTATTATTACCATAAATAAAATACAACACTATAAGCACCTTTGTGGCTCCTGTGGCTGAGCTAATTCCCCCCCCAGGACCACCAGGCACCCACCCTGACGGATGGACGGATGACCCCGTAGCTGTCAGCATACCGCTGCACCCCCAGATGTGCGATGTCTTATAATCAATGCGCATTATAATTGATGGTCTGGTGAGTGTACGTCCGTCCCGAGGGGGGATTTCCTTTTACAAGCCTTTTGCACGGTTACTCTTCACGGATAACTTCACGTGCCAATCACAGGCATTTCCTCAGCTGATATCTTTGCACAAGAGACGTTTTAAATTCACAAATGCTCTGATGAACTTATTTTTATTACATTTTATGTCATCTTGAACTAGTTGTATTAATATTGCACTTTCAGCCCTTTACTCACATATGCGTTTAAGTCCCATGCGTTTATGGAATGTATGACCTGCATTTTTTAGCGCTGCACTAATATTTTAGAAATTGTGAAAACGTCCCGTGTGTATGAGGGCTTCTCTTTGATTTTTTTAGAGTTTGTATCATCACTCTTTGTCCTGGCTGCTATTATTTATTTTTTGCACCTGAGCGCAGAATTTTTATATATAATATTTTAAAATATGCAATGTAGTGCAGTGATCACTTACCTGTGTGTACTGATAAACAGTAAGTACCTGGGCCAATGCTTGACTTGTAAGGAACCTGGAGTCACCAATAAAAGCAGCCACTTCCCCATATCTCCAGGAATAATTAGGAGCCTCCATGTGTTCTCCAGGCAGGGCATATCCCAAGGACCTCTTTGGATGTCCACAAGTAATCAATATATGAGAACCCAAAATAATATTTACCAGAAGATCGGGTCCTTATTAATTTCACTGACAGCACAGATCAGCGCCAAGATACTTCTATATTCATCAATAATAATACTGCAAATATATATAAAAATAATGACTTCATTACTAAAACTGCATCGTAGATATAACCCATAGCTTACCCACCGCTAATTCGGTTTTTTTTTCACAGACCTTTTGTTTTAGGACTGACTTGCCATGAGATTGGAATGTCAGCTCTCTTGAAAGCCCCCCCCCCCCCCCCCACAAAGTCAGTTCACATACTATTAAAAATAAAAAACCTGTTGCTTAAAAAAAAAAAACACTTTTTCTCTTAGCAATATAAATCAACTATTGAACTAAGAACTAAATGTAAATCATCATCTATGGCGAATACCAAATCTATGCCGGACGAGGTGCGTGTCCCTACGCACCATCTGGCCAATCGATGAATCTAAATCGCACCATCTGGCCAATCGATGAATCTAAATCGCACCATCTGGCCAATCGATGAATCTAAATCGCACCATCTGGCCAATCGATGAATCTAAATCGCACCATCTGGCCAATCGATGAATCTAAATCGCACCATCTGGCCAATCGATGAATCTAAATATACCTTTACTCGGATAGATATGTAGGATATAGTAATTGTATTGTAATATATATATAAATATACATCGATATATATTGTGACAGTGTGGCGACCTGTCACAGTGTAGAAAGGATATTTCCCCCGGGATTCTCAACAAGGCAGGTTGAGGGGCTCCAGGGTACGTGTTTAATACAGAGGAAACTGGCTTTTCACTTTCCTCATTTGTTTGTAAAGTCCATTTTGGGACCCGGAGCCGGGAGATTTCAAAGTGATTTGTGAAGGATGAAATCTCCAATCCTCAGACCAGGTTTTGGGAATGGCCAGGAGACTGATTAGTCAGGTGTGTGTGGGCTTCTTCTGGAGTCAGGACCGGGTTCTGGGCTCCATCCTCCCGAGGAGTCCATGTGGGTGCAAGAGAGCAGCCACAAGTGTGCATGGTGGCCCAGAGAAGTCTGACAGAGCAGACCGAGGGCCCAAGCCTGTGGGCTGGAGAAGCAGGAGTGCTGGGAAAGGGCGCTAAACCAAGTGCAGTGTGTTGCATGTAAATGGTCAAGAGGACCGAGGCATGAAGCCTGAGCAGCGGTGCTGCTAAAGAGAGCCAGGAGGCTGAATCTTTGTTTTCAGTTGCATTGATGGTGGATACCCTTCTGTGGGAAACCAATGTTGTATGGAACTTTCTTTTAAATAAAATTGGGCGAAAACGGCCTTTAAAAAGAAGGAAGTGAGTGACTGTGTGCTGCAAAGGCTCTACCCTTCTCTCACAAAAAAATAATAATAATATATATATATATATATAGGATAAATTCACCTTTGGGAACATGTTACAGGTTCTACTTGTTATTTAGGGTGGAACATGTAAAAAAATTCCCGATCCTGCAGCCGCCGCCCGATCCCCCCTCCCAGTGACAGCAGTATGGGGAGAAGTTCTCCATACTAGCTTTCAATTTTTAAAAAACAGCACGGCTGTGCGCAGCTCTGCTCACATGGCCGCGTCATTTGTTCACAGAGAATTCTGTGAACGAATGGACTACAAGTGCCTACAGCCTTAGTGGCTGTCAGCTTGTAGTTCTCAATGAACTAGCACAGCACTGCAAGCACCGTGGTAGTTCATTGAGTCTTCCTGTCAGAAGTATTGGCTTGCCCGTATGGGATGTATGAGGAAGTAGTCTGACAGTCTGCAGGAGACCTACATGGCATCAGTGATCTGCTGATTGCTGGTGCAATGCTTTACAGGCTCCTACTGCAAAAAATAATATATGCACATTTTTTTACCTGCAAAAAAATGTGCATTTAATAATTTTGGTAGAAAGGCGAACGTATCCTTTAAACCAAACTAAATATGGAAGTTAACCTCCTCGGCGGTCTGATTATTTCAGATTTTTGGTGCTGAAAGCGGTACCATTTTTTTTCATGGAAATATGTAGTTTTTTTATTGTAGGCTGTCATTTTTAGGAATAACTCACTGAAATCTGTCCAAACAAGAGTCTAGTAAACATCCCGGGATGATAAAACTTGAAACACGAAATCATAAATTATAATTTAATAAATAATCATAAAAAATAATAATATAATAATAAATGTAATTCAATAATATAATCAAACCAAAAACACTGAAATGTGAAATATAGCGCCAAGTTCGCACATCGCTGAGCTCAGTCGCAGAATCGTTTTCAGTGTCTGATGAGGAATTTCCCCCACCAATCATTATCACTCAATTCTGCAAGTGGTTCTGATTTACTATCGCTGTTCTCTAGCCGGTCTAAAACCGCGTCTGACCTAAAGGGACGCTTTTTGGACGCCATGGACGTTTCTCAGTTTCCAGGCAGAAAGAACAGTAAAAATGCAGGCAGGGCGCCGGACAAAGCACTCGGGACACAATGTATGTGAAATGGTTTGATACAGCAATGTTTTACTATGTAATAATCATTTTAAAAAAAATAAACATTTTTAAAAAAAAACTTCAAATTTGCCACTGTTCTGGCGCCCGTACGTCCCGACGTCACAGGGACCGGAACACGGAAGCCAGGATGCTGGCATCCGCCAGAGGAGATGGCCGGGGACGCTGCAGGGGACACATCGCGGGAGCGAAGGACAAGGTAAGCGCTGCGGTGGATCCCTGAAACAACGCCTCATGGTAAGCCCGAGTGTAGCTCGGGGGGGGGTTACCGCTTTTGGTACTGAAACTTTACCCCGAGCTACACTCGGGAATACCACCAGGGGGGTTAAAGAAAACAATTGCACATAAATTGTAAGTGTTGGCAAGATACGGGCTGGCGGATGCTGTCTGTGAAAATTGTACTGTTCTGTAACACCACATACAGACTAAAGGCTTCTTCCAAGCATGTGGGGTTTTTTCCTATGTTGCCCTCAAAGTTGCATTAATTTCCTTTTTTTTTTAACCTTGGTATATAATTCCCCTTTATTTGACAATATTTTGACTATTAGCCTTGTAAATGGCCATGACCAACTGACCAAATGAAAGTCCCATGAATAGAACTTGGGCACATTCATTCATCCCTAGTCATGAAAGGGTCAGCATTTATTGTAAAAATAATAATAAATATTGTCAGAATTGCAAATTATTTCAGATAAAACCTTCAAAAGGTCAAACAAATCTTGCCCGTAAGTGAAAGTGAAGGTAGATGGGTCCCAGCCAGGGGTGTCAAACTGGCGGCCGTCCAGCTGTTGCGAAACTACAAGTCCCATCATGCCTCTGTCTTTCGGAGTCACACTTGTAACTGTTAATATTGCAATGACTCATGGGACTTGTAGTTTGGCAACAGCTGAAGGGCCGCCGGTTTGACACCCGTGGTCTAAACAATAAAATACCAAAAACACAGAAAACTGATTTAATGGATATCTAAAAAAACATTGTTCAATGTTTTATATGGTGTAGGGAAGGCTTAAAACACCGCCAGTTTTATGGCTGTTTGCGCCATCATATGGAACATTTCCCTTCACTTCATCTCAGAGACACAACAGGAAGAGAGAGGAAATCCCTCCAAAGTGGGGCAAAATACCATCTTAGGCAGTACCCAACAGGTGCCCCCATTGCTAGATGTCCTCTTTGTACTTGATCTGCTGTAATGTGTTCCACCTCTCTGACACCCCAAAGGCAGGACAGCACCAAGCTCCAAAGGCGGGGGTGGGGTAACATTTCACCCCAGGGCTGAGTCCATAGCTAAAATAGGGGGGCGGAGAAAGGATATTGAGCGATAGTCACTTTTGTCTTTTTAAAGTTTTATCAAGCAGAATGGTTAAGAAGGTGAGGGTTAATGTTTAGGGGTCCCAGCTACCATAGCAGATCACTTACAGACTCTAGGTCCAGACCAATGTCCAGCTTCACAGTGACAGAACCTTTAAGATGACCTGGTGACACTGAAAGCTCAGATTTCATTGCGTCCTCCAAGTGAGTCACCAGGCCAGGCAAGAGACCTCCCCCGGGCCTCCTCCCTGGCCAAGTAGGACAGCTTCAGAATCACTTCAGCACACGTTAGGTCCCAAAACAGGCTATTGGGCCTACCATCCAGTAGCCCTCCCTAGGCCTTAGCACAGAGAAAGGGAGTAAGCACACAAAGTGGGCAAGATGTTTATATCCACCCCCAGCATGCACCAGTGACATAAACCCCTTACTGGATTGGCTGAAGAACATATAAGTATTCATAACTTAGTCTTGTGAAATCTCATACTGTGACTAGTGATACCAGTAACATCTGCTGGCCACAATGGGGAAATCACAAGCCAATTTAGGCTTAGGGGAAAAAAACAGGTGAAAAACTATACATTTAGAGCTAATTACAGCCCAGCCAAAAACTAAACTGACATAATAGCCCCTGCTTAGGACAAATGGTTTGGATTGACCATCACTTTCTACTCCAATGACAAAAGATAGTCTCCACAGGGTGAAGGGTTAATCTCTAGCAGAGTCACAGACAGCAAAACAAAATCCTTACAGGGGTTCTGATCCTTCCATACTTTATATAAAAATACAAGTTGTTGGCTGTAGATACACTTTTTAGGTGGATTCCAGGTAAGAAGTGAAATACTAGATACAATCAAAAGGCATTTTGAATGTCAAAATATTTGAACAGTTGCTATTCTATTCAAGGCACCAGGGATGACTAAATGCTTGCAAACTGCTATGTGAATTTTGCTCGGAGTCCATGAACCGTGTGGCCCATTGAAATCTGTAGAGGGCACATCTTAATATTGAATCCTGGTCATTGATAAGGATGGAAAAGCAAGTTATCTCCAAACAAAAGGCATGGGAAGCTGGGAACTGCCGTGAGGAACATACACACCATGGGAAAAAACACCAACCCTCTAAATGACATGGCTTGGATATGCCTTTGAAGTGGTTGTAAAGATTGCATTCTAAGCATGAAGGTAAAAAAACCCTCTGTGTGCAGTGGCCCCCTCTGCCCCTCCACCACCACCACCACCAATACACACCTGAGTCCCCCCTCGATCCAGCGATGTGCATGAGAACACTCAATCACAGCCAGTGAGCCAATGAGAAGAGAGAAGGGGGTGGATGTGAGCCATGCTCTGTGTGTGAATGGCCACACAGAGCAGTGGCTCAGGAGCAAGCCTGCTCAGGTGCCCCCCATAGCAAGCTGCTTGCTCTGGGGGTAGGAGGGAGGAGCCAGGAGTGCCGTGGGGGACCTGAGAAGAGGAGGATTGGGGCAGCTCTGTTCAATACCATTGCACAGAGCAGGTAAGAATACCAAGTTTGTTCTTTTAAAGAAAAAAAAAATAACTGCCTTTCATATCACTTAAAGCTCAACATGGTGTTATGGGACAGTTTGGTTTTGAAGTGACTATATATTCTGGTAGTGCATTTGGCTGTGTATTTTGGCAGGGCATTTTTACAATTAGGAGTCGCTGAGTTTTGGGTCCCCCTAAAGCTCTGCACAGCCAGGCAACACGCAATTTGTTCCACACTTTGCTTTCAGAGTCAGTAAACAGACCTTGAGCTTGGTTTTGTGATTTTATTAAGGAATTAATAACCTGGATGGGGTTTAGGGGTATACAGCATGCCCAAAGGAACTTTAAACTTTCGGACGACATTTCTGCCAACTATGTACAAAATGTGGATGGAATCTCTTTTTGTGTACCTTCTCAGACCACATATGAATCCTCCTCTTTACCAAGCTGAGGGCAAGTGGGGCCAAATCAGAGTAGGAATTACAAACAAGTTTGCATATGTGCCTGTTAAAGGAACTAAAAGTTGGGTTTTCCACCCGACCGCCCTGTGTTATTCCCATTATTTATCAGAACAGGTGGTGTAAAGCCAGATACTGTTTCCTGTCAGCTATGGTTTGGATCGTTGCTGCCTTCAGGCCTTCCTTGCTGTTCTCAGTGAAGCAAGCCCCATTACAAAACAAACCCATCAGAGACAGTGCAAAAACATTAGGCGTCCAAAACACTGTTTGGAACTTGTTAAAAAGAAGGAACGCACCGGTGAGCTCAGCAACACCAAAAGACCCGGAAGGGAAAACAACTGTGGTGGATGAGCGAAGAATTCTTTCCCTGGTGAAGAAAACACCCTTCACAACAGTTGGCCAGATCAAGAACACTCTCCAGGAGGTAGGTGTATGTGTGTCAAAGTCAACAATCAAGAGAAGACTTCACCAGAGTGAATACAGTTCACCACAAGATGGAAACCATTGGTGAGCCTCAAAAACAGGAAGGCCAGATTAGAGTTTGCCAAACGACTCTGTGAAAAAAAGCCTTCCTTGATGGAATACATCCTATGGACAGATGAGACCAAGATCAACTGCCAGAGTATGGGAAGAGAAGAGTATGGAGAAAGTCTGATCAAGCACATCTGTGATCATGGTGGTGGTAGTGTCATGGCTCATGGATGGCTGCCAATGGAAAATGTTCTCTTGTATTTATTGATGATGTGGACTGCTGAGGGGATGAATTGTGAAGTGTTCAAAGTATCTGCTCATACAGGCAAATGAGAGCCTCCCTTCACAGAGGCAGATGGACAATGACCCAAAGCATACTGCAAAAGCAACCAAAGAGTTTTTTAAGGGAAAAAAAAAGGAATGGCTTTATGCAGCCTGGCCAAAAAAAAAAAAAAAATCAATCAAACCTGACCTGAACTCCGATCTAGAGCACAATTACTTGCTTAATAGCACTAAGGGAAAATCCCTGCAAGAGGAACTGAAGACAGTTGCAGTAGAGGCCTGGCAGAGCATAACCAGGGATCCTCATCCATGTCTATGCGTTCAGCTTCAGCAGCCAGGCAAAAAAAGCAATTGACTGGCAACACAATTTCTTGCTTAAAAAGTGAAAGTTTGAGATTATTATTCTGTCCCATTACTTTATGCAAACTGTTGTAATTCCTACACCGTTCACCTGATTTGAATGTAAATACCCTCAAATTAAAGCTGACAGTCTGCAGTTAAAGCACATCTTTTTGTTTCATTTTAAATCCATTGTGGTGGTGTATAGGCCAAAAATTTAGAATGTGTCGATACTCCAATACTGACTGTATGTAAAAAATGTGGATGGAAGCTCTTTAGTGTAGCTTTCAGACACATATGAATCTTCTTCACCAAGCTGCAGGGCAAGGGGGGCCAGGGGAACAAGGTCCCTGATGATAAGCTAGTTGGGTTTTCCACACCGCCCTCTCCCCTTATCCATCCCAGGTGGTGTAAGAGTACTCACACTGTCCTTCCTGTCAGCTTGGTGGGATCGTAGCTGCCTTCAGGCCTTCCTTGCTGTTCTCCTCCCTAGTACACGGTGACACAGTGGAGGTTCTCTTTTCCAACAACATGCCTGTAGGTAGTCCCCCTCCCTGGGGCCTCTTCCCAGACTCCAAACGCCAGCTCCTTACACCACCTTCCACCTGACACTCACTGACTCTGTTCCCAGTCTCTGTGATACTTAAGGGTTGCCTTGATCACCATGCCCAGCCTCCTGCCAGGGTATTGGACAAAGTCTCTCAAGCACATCTGAGCCTCCTCCTCTCCTCTGCCCCTTTCTAAATAGTTCCTCAAGTTTTTGGAAGTGTGGAAGGCTTCAGAAGTTCTGACCTATAGAGCCTCCCTAGCCTGCCTTGAGGTGAATATCCTGCCTCACTTACAGGCTGACCCATCCCAGGCTCTTATACAGCCTCTGTCTAAAAAAAAAAAAAAAAATCAACAAACATCCTAACTAAATCTAGAGG